ATTGTGTCAAAGATACTTCTCTCTCGTTTAAAAATTTTAAAGTACTATTTAACTGTCTGCTTAGAAGCCTTAAAAAAAAAACAATGTATCAAAAATTAAGATCACAGAAAAGCATAAGATATCTCAAATACACACTTTTAAAAATAAAAAAAAGTATTAATTCTATTCAACTTATTTTCTATTCAACTCCTTCTCTTCTTCAGGGTATCATTAGAAAGCAATTGCATGGCTTTCCCATACTTACCTCGAAGTTTAAAATGTTGGACTAACTTAAACAATTAGTTAATATCCAGCATTTCCTACTGTTCAAAACTCCACCTGTCTATACTTAAACTAAATCTACTGATGTTTGTCTTTTAAGCACTTCCTGCATCAGTTAATATTTTAATAGTCCTCCTAAATCTCCATTTTATGGAATCTGCCCAGATTATTTTCTGAGCCCAAAGTGTTGTCTATTTATTCCAGCCTAATACACAAAGCATATATATTCATAATATCTATTTAAACAGAATATAGGTGCTTGACATTTTGAAAAGAATAATCGCTTGCTCAGTAGCTCCTACCATCTGTGGCTGGCAGGTGCCATTCTGGTATTAGAAGCAAGATAAAATTGAGGCACTCAAGCCCGGCTGGTGTGGCTCAGTGGTTGAGCATTGACCCATGCTCCAAGGGGTCACTGGTTCGATTCCCAGTCAGGGCACATGCGCAGGTTGTGGGCAAAACAGGCCATGGGGGGCATGCAGAAGGGGGCAATCAATGTTCTCTCTTATTTATGTTTCTCTCTCTCTCTCCTTTCCTATCTCTAAAATCAATAAAGAAAAAATATTTTTAAAAAATTGAGGCAGTCAAGTCAGAAAGCACTTTCTGGATTCTTTCTACAGATTTTATAAATCAGTATTTATTCAATAGCTCTTTCTGCTTTGTCATTTCTTTTTTTCCGGGTGATTTATTCTTGGCCTTTTGTTTTTCTCATTAACACCTCTATTAGGGAGTGAGTAGGAGGAAAGGAAGGAGATAATATTCAAATGAGGTAATCTGGCCCGTAACTCATTGGCTAAAGCACAGTCCCAAGAGGCCACTTTTATGAGCTGGATTCTCTCCAAGGTCCAGTTTACTCTGGACAGATGCACGTTCACTCCCATGCTATAGACTGTGACCCCATTTCCTGCCAGATGTTTTGCACTTGTGGCTCTATGGTCACAGGGGGGACTAGGCCAGTGACTAGAAATGACTCAGGAAAATATGCCTCACCTGCAGAAAAACAAATAGATGTGTAATTTATTCTTCTCCTTTGAACTGTTGAGCTTTATATCTGTAAATTTAGACTAAAGGTCTGTCAGAAAACAAGGCTTTAAATACTGATTAAAACAGGTTTTGAATTATTTGTTAATTTTCCTCTTTATCCTTACAACATTTTAACCAAAATCAAATGTCACTTTTGTAGTGCCCACCAGCTAAGAAAAGTTTTTACATTTTTAAATTGTTGAAAAATACCAAGAGTAGTATTTCATGATATAACTGTGTAGAAACTTCATTTCTTTAATATGACCTTTTCTCTTTTTTTCCCCTTTTGATTCAAACTGGCCCCATTTAGCCCCCTGACTCACCTGCTTCCCTCCTTCTTTGCACTTCCACTCTCTCAATCTCTTAAGCCCTCAGAAGAGTGAGGTTCTGGACAGCATCAAACAGTCTTAGGAACAAAGCCTAGTGTCTGCTGAACTCAGAAACAGAGTTTTAGTCAAATTAAAAATAACATCTAGGCCTCAGTTGTGTTTCAGCTTCAGGCCCAGTAAAGCAGAAAGACCCCACTGGCCCCACACTTGTGAAACCAGACAGAGCAACACCATGACTGACATCAGAACCAGACACAATGGTCAACTAACCTCTACCTTAATACCAACCAATTAATAGACACCATGACCCTAATTCCCTTAAGTCACCATGATTAATGATTTTCCACCTATATAACCCATCCCCTAGAAGGCAAAGGGAGCCAGATGTTAGAGGACTGCCTCACCTATACCTCTGGAATTGGTACATTTCCTTAAATTAACTTTTACTTTCTTTGCTGCAAACTCCTGTTCACATATTATTGGGCTTTGATGTGTACAGGCAAACAAACCCCTTTACTTCAGTAATAATAACACATGAGAAACAGGTGAAACTCACATTTCAGTGGCCATAAATACAGTTTTATTGGAAGAGCCACCCCAATTGTTTCCGTATTTCTTGTGGCTGCTTTTATGTTACAAGGGCAGGAATGTGCTGTTATATCTGAACTAGATGGCCCACAATGATGAACATATTTGCTATTTGACCCTTTACAGAAAGTTTGCTGCCCCTGCTTTTTCTCATTCTACACAGACATTTCTGGTATCTTCACCATCTTAGGAATCATGTGTTTTCTTTATTACTTTCTTTTTGTGCAGATTATTTTGTTTCTCTTGAAATCATAAGTCTGGGGTGTTACCTCGAAAAATGGTTTTACTCTATTTTTAAATGAAGAACTACGTGATATGCAAGATTTTCAAAAGATCATAAACACAAATGATGTTTCATCTCTTCCAGATGGTTACTATAGTTTAATGTGTGTGCACATGGGCCTGTGATACTACAGTAAACCTTCAATTTTGTGGACCTCAATTTAATAAACAAAAGTTCTGGTCCATAGGTCATATGTGAAAATTAACACCTGTTCATTTTTAAATGCTTGTAACAACCAGGCTGGTGTGTTTCAGTGGTTGAGCATCAACCCATGCACCAAGAGTTCAATTCCCAGCCAGGGCACATGCCCAGGTTATGGGCCCAATCCCCAGTGGGAAACATGCAGGAGGCAGCCAATCAATGTTTTCTCTCATCGATGTTTCTATCTCTCTCTTCATCTCTCTCTAAAACATTAAAAAAAAAAAACTTTTAAATGCTCTTAACCAAGATTTGCTTATAATTAAAGTAACAAATTATTTTTTGTTATTAATTCACTGTTATTTTTCACAAATTTTAGTGAATAGATCATATGTTGGAAAAAACACCAGTAATTTTGCCAACATAAATATTATGTATCTACGACTATAGTCTACATATTTAAATGCAAGAATCACCGCCATAAACAATGTTTGGCAAATGATTAGCACATGATCATATTACATCTCTCAAGGTTAGTGGTTCTGTTGTTGCATGGCGTGACTTTCTGCAGCAGTTTTAATGTGAGCCAGCCTATGTTCTAACATGCACTAAAGCCACACCCCAGCTGTGTGCATTTTGTTCACTCATGGTGACTGGTGAATGCACTCATTTACTAGACCTATTCAATATAAATTTAAAATTACAGTAATACACACATAAAAATTTTTTGTGAAATTAAACTTTTCATACATACTTAATTTTAATTACACAAACGTTGTCTACATAAGTGAAAACAGGTAAACTAATTTGTCAATTTTTACCATGCACATTCAGAAAACCTAGTTTATTATATAATGGACACCCCCCCCCCAAATTAATCTATTATACTGAGGTTTTACTGTACTACAATTTTTTCACATTTTCTCAAATGCTAAATAATTGAATTTTGCTTCTGACCCATAATTGGAATGGTACACAGTGAAAGAGGGACTAAACCCTTTTCTACTGTATAAAATCAAAATACATGGGTTTGTGCTACTCTAATTTTTCAGAAAAATTTCAGGCAGTTGAACACCCCTTTGAAGAAGGTAAAGAATGCTTTAAATGGCTCTGGATATGGCCTTCAAACCCCGAGCAGATGTTACAGTAAGCCATCTGTCTGCTGCTAGAAGTGTATTGACCAAGTTGGTGGCCATGTTAGGGCCCCAGGAAGTTCAATGTTGAGGAGACTAGTCTGCCAAAGTGGGGTAGAGAGCACTCAATTTCAAGAGGGTCCTAGAAATGGGATTTTTAGCCTGTACATTGGGGCAGTTAGATGCCCTGCCCACTCCCCTCTCCCCATCCACACCACGCATCAGTGTCTGTGAGGAGCAAGAAAGGATAGAGGGGAGGCTGGTTCTCTTAGTTTAGGTTTTCCCAGAAGCATAGCTTATATGCATATTTGAGTACACAGAATTTATTTGGGAGATAGTCCTAGGAAATGCCAGTCCAAGAAAGTTAGGAAAAAGAAGGCAGACAATGAAGGGTGTGTTATCAAGCACACACGCACTGTGGGCTGCGTGAATACAATCCCACAGGAAATGCTAGGTAAAGGCCTTGAACACAGGCCTCAGAATTATCCCACCTGAGGTGTGAGGTAGCTTCCAGGAATGTTAATTTCCTAGCACTGACTGGGGCAGAACAGCCTTCCCAGGTTTCAGAGAAAGCCTTAGGCCAAGAGACAGACACTATTGGCAGTTGGAAGTTGGTAAGTGGGCCCTGAGGAGCTAGGATGACAAGCTAGAAGGTACGGTCACTGCATTGTCATCATACAAAGAATATGGGGTGGAATATAGGGAGTGAGACTGAGGAGTAGTTGGTTCTGGTCCTGGGTCTAACCCTGGCAAGTTAAATAACTTTCTTTACACTTTACTTTCCTCATCTACAAATATGAGAGTTGGTTGAGCTTAAACATCCTTTCTGGACTAGACTTGACAAGCGATGCATATACAACCCTTAGAATAAGAGAAAACCTCCTTCCATCTCACAAGATGCTCCCCTTAGAGCCCGTTAGAGCTCCATCCCATTGGTAATATGGAGGTTCTCAACATCTTAGCAAAGTGTCAACCCACATAATTTTGCCTGGACCTTATATTGGCACACAGGCTGCATTAAAATGGCTGATGTCATGACTGGTGTTTGTATTCTCTTCCTTTTCTGAACATTCTGGAAGCTGAAAGGTGACTTACCCTGGATGTATTAGGATATAGAGAGACCTGGTGCTAGAGAGAAGGAGGTGTAGTGTTCAATTACATAAAAAGGTTCATCTTACCTTTCCTCCCCTTCAATGGTTTAAATAACACTGTAATTGAACCCAAAGCAACATACACATTACTTACCAATATACGCATTTCCAGAAATGGTGTAAATGAAGCTTGTCCACCCTAAAAAGGGACCAGCAACAATATTAAAAGGTTAATGTCCATAATACCAAAAGGAACAAAGATATAACAATATATTTAATGATATCTGTCTATATGAAATACAAATATATATATATATATATATATATATATATATATATATATATATTTTATTAATCCTCACCTGAGGATATTTTTCCATTGATTTTTAGATAGAGTGGAAGGGAGGGAGAGAAAGAAATATCAATGTGAGGGACATCAACTGGTTGCCTCCCGAATGATCCCAACTGGGGCCAGGGATCAAACCTGCAACCCAGGTACATGCCCTTGACCAGGAATTAAACCTGAGACCTTTTGGTCTGCGGGCAGACATTCTAACTGCTGAGCCAAACCAGTCAGGGCACAGATATATAAATTTATATAACAGGTATAAAAGATAAATTTGAAGCCCAGCCAAATGGTTGAGTGCTTGAGCATTGACCCATGCACCAAGAGGTCTCTTGTTCGATTCCTGGTCAGGGCATATGTCCAGGTTGTGGGCCCAGTCTCCAGTGGGGGGCATGCAGGAGGTGGCCAATTGATGTTCTCTCTCATCGATGTTTCTGTTTCTCTCTCCCTCTCCCTTCCCCTCTCTCTAAAGTCAATAAAGAAAAAAATATTTTTTAAAAAAGATAAATTTGGAGATGAACTCTTTTATTTTCTTTTAGATATATAATTAAAAATTTAAGTTCTGTGAGCTGTTTAAAACACACACTCACACATGCACACATGTGCACACACACACAACTAACCCTAAATGACTTAGCCCCAAATGTTCTAGAGCCACCCAAGTAGACAGTGTACAATTTGCTTGGCTATATATCTATCTATATCTATATGCCAACAGCTGTATTAACAAACTGTCCCATCTAGTTGTAACATCATGCTAATGACTGCAACACACCAGTCTGGCTTATCTTCAGTTCATTGTGCTTCTTTCTCTCCAGGAAGAGAATGCTAGAAATATGCTTTTCTTTTCTTAGTTGCACTTTAGTTTCTAGTGAACCCATTTCTTTTTATCTATCCTAAAGCAGAGCATGAGATCCAGGGATACATAATCTTTGGGGGCACAAATGGGCTTTGGATGGCCTGTGTACTCCCTGGAACTGTCCCCACAATTTTTCCAGTGTGGACATTTTTCTGTTAAGAGGGTACACAGCATTCACCAGATTCCTACTGTGATCCATGGGGCCAAGAGCTCAGAACCATGGGCCACCTGCTGTTGGCTCTCTGAGTACCAACACTGCATTTTCATGGACAATTATGCATTATACCCATGGCCCAGAAGAGATGCTGGGAGACATGAATCTAGAAATGAATGGCAAGCTCAAAATGGAATTAGGGTATTACTCTGTGCCTTAAGTGGCAAAGGAAAAGATGTGGGAAGTGAATGCAGGGCAGAGTTCAAGGTGGAAGAGCAGGGCCCTAACTGGAGTCTGTGCGAGAACCAATGTGGTGACACAGTAAGCAAAACAATGGCAGGGGTGAAAGGATCAGAGAGGACATCTCTAGGGATGTGGGTGAGATGGCAGGTGGGTTGAAATGTGCAAAAGAGGCACTAAAGAAAAGGTATAACTGATAAAACAACATAAATTGAGACTGTTTCAAAAAATCTGAAGGATGGCCAAAAAAGACTAGGATGCCAGGGGGACACTTTTTCACCCTTCTATTTCAGTGTTTCCTCTCTGAGATTTTACTAGAAAAGCTTTAAGCCTCTGGAGGTAACATAATTTGCTCATTGTTCACTTATACTTTTTCTTCCTTTTGACCCACTCGTTCAGTCTTCTCAGATCAGTCTATCATCATGTAGTGAACATTTACCACTCACTGTGGGTGGACATAGGAAGATGAATAAGACAGTCAACTTTTCAAATCGTGTAATTTTAGAGGGAAGTTCATGGTAGATGCTGAAAATATATGCTAACAATTCACAGCCCCATTCCATGTGTCTTATCCGTATGGATTGGCTCTATTAGAGGACTTCTCTCTGTGTTTTGTAATTGTTGCTAAAGTTCCCTAGTCCTATGTAGCCTGATGTATAATAAAACTCTCTAACAAAACCCCTTCCTTAGCTACTTTTTTAAACGTTTTGCCATTGAAAATTGTTTAAATTTCTTTTTCAAAGTGTAAATGTCCTTATTGAGTGTTCCATTATAAAAAGTAATAGACATTTAACTTGAAAATACAGGGGTGGGCAAAAGTAGGTTTACAATTGTGAAAGACACTTTTGAGTTAATAAAGCTACTGTAATAATCTGGCTGTCTTTTCCCATACAAAAAACTGTAAACCTACTTTTGCCCATGGCTACATTTTAAGACCCTGAAAGTGTGTGATGTTATCTAAACAGAAAATCTTTCTGCAGTCTTCATATTTACCCTGACATAAATACTGTGAGCAATTCTATATTTGTACATTGTTTCTTTTATATTTTATGCAATATATATTGTTTGCTTAAAAACTAGTATTAACTCAATCATCTGTTCGGATACTTTCCCAGGTCAAAATGTAGAGAAATAACTCATCCTTGGGAAAGACTGCAAAGTATTCCATTGTAAGGACATGTTGTAATTTATATAAGGTATTGAAAAAGTAATGGTTTCTGAGTTTGACAAAACCTCAAAGTTTTCAGTTGTCCAACTGGGTTTTTATTTGGGATTATTTTGATTGTTCTAATATCATATCTCCTCTACCCTCTTTGCTTCATTCATATTCACCCCTGCCCCCCCAAGCAGAAAACTAGTCTACACATAATTGCCTGGGTCTGTTTTCTTTCCCTTTTTAACTTCTTACATGAACCAAAGCACCAAACATTTGCTTAAAGGAATGGCCAAGTCAATTTATTAAGTATATTTACCTATTTTTGCTTTGTGAAAAAGTCTTCTATTAGGATATAGAGTCCAACACTTCATTAGTAATAACATAATTCATCTTACTGGTTAGAAGGCACAGAGTTTAGAGGGAATGGTATAAGAACAGGGGGTGATTTCCTCTCCCCCCCTCTTTTATTTTATATTATTATTATTTTTTTGTTACAGATGTTTCTCCTTTTTTACCCTATGGCACCCCCCTCCCCACCCCACCCCCGCCCCGTCCCCGGTTTTGTTGTCCTGGTCATGCATACATGCATATAAGTTCTGTGGTTTAGATACTCCCACCCCCTCACCCCCTCTTCTGAGGGATGTCAGTCTGTGCCCTACTTCCATGTTTCTGGGTCTACCATATTCCTCAGACTGTTATGTTCATTATATTCCATATATAAGTGAGATCATGTGGTATTTGTCTTTTTCTATTTGGCTTCTTTCACTTAGGATAATACTTTCCAGGTCCCTCCATGTCGTCTCAAAGGATAAGAGATCTTTCTTTCTTACCGCTGCATAGTACTCCATTGTGTATATGTACCACTGCTTTTTTATCCATTCATCTACTGATGGACACTTGGGCTGTTTCCAGATCTTAGCTATTGTAAATAGTGCTGCTATGAACATCGGGGTACATATATTCTTCCTGATTGGTGTTTCAGGCTTCTTAGGCTATATTCCTAGGAGCGAGATCACTGGGTCAAAAGGAAGTTTAATTTTTAATTTTTGAGGTAACACCATATTGTTTTCCATAGTGGGTGCACCAGTCTGCATTCCCACCAGCAGTGTATTAGAGTCCCCTTTTCTCCACACCCTCACCAACACTTGTTGTTTGATGATTTGTTGATGGCGACCATTCTGACATGTGTGAGGTGATACCTCATTGTTGTTTTAATCTGCATCTCTCTGATGATTAGTGATGTTGAGCATTTCTTCATATGTCTCTTGGCCATTTGTATGTCCTGTTTGGAGAGGTGTCTATTCAGCTCCTCTGCCTGTTTTTTATTTGGGTTCTTTGTGTTTCTTTTGTTGAGTTGTATGAGCACTCTATATATATTGGAAATTAACCCCTTATCTGATATATCATTGGCAATTATGTTCTCCCATACAGTGAGTTGCCTTTCCATTTTGATGACTGTTTCTTTTGCTGTGCAGAAGATTTTTAGTTTAATGTAGTCCCATGTGTTCATTTTTTCCTTTGTTTCTGTTGCCTTAGGTGACGTATCAGTGAAAATTCTGCTACGTATGATGTCCGCAATTTTGTTGCCTACATTTTCTTCTAGAATTTTTATGGATTCACAGGTCACATTTAAGTCTTTTATCCATTTTGAGTTTATTTTTGTGTATGGTTTAAGGTGATGGTCTAGTTTCATTTTTTTGCATGTAGCTGTCCAATTTTCCCAACACCATTTATTAAAGAGTCTGTCTTTACTCCACTGTGTGCTCTTGCCACCTTTGTCAAATATCAATTGAGCGTATTGCCTTGGGTCCATTTCTGGGTTTACAGTTCTGTTCCACTGGTCTATATGCCTGTTCTTGTGCCAGTACCAGGCTGTTTTGATTACAGTTGCTTTGTAGTATAACCTGATATCTGGTATTGTGATCCCACCTACTTTGTCCCTCTTTCTCAAAATTGCTGTGGCTCTTCGGGGACTTTTTTGGTTCCATATGAACCTTTGAAGTATTTGTTCTAGTTCTGTGAAATATGTTGTTGGTATTTTTATGGGGATTGCATTGAATTTATAGATTGCTTTGGGTAGTATGGACATTTTAATGATGTTATCCAATCCATGATGAAGGTATGTGCTTCCACTTTTTTATATCTTCCTCTATTTCTTTTTTCAATGTCCTGTAGTTTTCTGCAAATAGGTCCTTTACTTCTTTGGTTAAGTTTATTCCTAGGTATCTTAATTTTTTTGGCGCGATGGTAAATGGGATTGTTTTTTCAGTTTCTCTTTCTGTGAGTTCATCATTGGCGTACAAGAATGCCGTCGATTTCCTGACGTTAATTTTGTATCCTGCTACTTTGCCAAATTCATTTATTAAGTCTAGTAGATTTTTGATGGAGTCTTTAGGGTTTTCTATGTATAATATCATGTCATCTGCAAATAATGACAGTTTCAC